ACAGTTTCGTCCGATCAGTTCAGGAACACTTGCTAGCCTACGCTTCTTCGTCACTATGCGGCACACCGCACTGATCTACCTCGTGGCTTCTGATCGAGTGCTACCGAAACAAAGAGATCTCCGATCGGACAACAGTTCTGGCCGATCAGTTCAGGAAAGCTCGCTAGTCTATATCTGTTCGCCAGTATGCGGCTTGAGAAAGTGCACACTCTACTGAGCCACCTCATGGCTGCTGATCGGGTGATCCCGCTTCGAACGGGCAGCCGATCGGGGAACAGTCCCGGCCGATTAGTTCAGGAAAACTCGCTGGTCTACACTTGTTTGCCAGTATGCTGACTACGGAAGGGGACACTCCACTGGGTCACCTAGTGGCTGCTGATCAAATAATACCGAAACAAAGAGATATCCGATCGGGCGATAGCTCCGTCCAATTGGCTCAGGAACACTTGCTAGGCGCTACTTCTTGCCCAGTACGTGGTCTATGAGAGGGCAGAGTCTAATGAGCTACTTCATGACTACTGTTCGAGTGATCCTCATACGAAGGGATACCCGATCTGGCAACAGTTCCGTCCGATCAGTTCAGGAACCCCAACTAACTCGCTTAGCGCAGAAGCAGCGTCAAGCGAGGCTATTTCTTTCAAAACCGTTTCAAAACTCAAGTTGCGCAGTTTGTGCAAAGTGCATGTAATTTTTCCGCAACTGGAAGCCTCGCCCGATGCCGTTATTGGACTTTCCATTGGACTTGATCAACACAAGAGTACAACTTGAGCCGAGATGGCTACGGACCTGTTCCCGTCTCTGCCTCTGACTATCGACTTAACTACTAGCTAAGTAAAAAAGCGCTCGCCTCGGGGATCGATTACACCACAACGCCGCAGCTGGGAATTGAACCCCAGTGACTAACATTCGTGGACTATTTGAGTATAGGGTATACGTGATAGGGTCGCAAAGGGATCACAGTCAAAAGCGGGCCGAATGCCCGCTATTCTAATCTATAAGTAACATCTTTCCACGTGTGTGGACATTGAACCCCAATTGTGGGGACACTGGGCCCCGGTAGCTTATGTCGGTGAGAACCCTCACAATACAACAGTATTATTCTAATATGATGATTATAGAGATCTGTTCTCTTGTCATTATTATCAACAACAACAACGGATAATGTTCATCACTTGCCAACTCATATTATTATAATGTTGAGATGGATTCAACAACAATACTTCATAATGATGCTCCTCCTCATATCGTAGTAGTAGTGGTAGTAGTCGTACTAGTCCATATATGTACCATATATTGCATCTATGTACCAATTAACAGTGTCATCACTGGTAACTTCTTGCTTATTATAGTTATGAGTAATATGAGTATTACTCCATCGAAAGGCAACTACCTTAGTAATAGCAGTGGAATCTCATCTCGTAGTAGTAATAATACTAATACCAGGGTACTACCATCTACAACAACAAAAATAGGCCCAGAAAGGATGAATAGGAGTAGGGGGACAACAGCAAGAGCAGCAGCAGCAAGGTATGATATCCAAGCACAACAATAGAGGTAGTAGTAGTAGTAGTAGTAGTAGTAGTAGTAGTAGTAACCATCCTACTACTACTACTACCATCATAATTATAATCAATACTATTTAGAGGCTTTTGTTGGTAGTGTATGGGGTGATAATAAAAATATCAACACTAATATAAGTTCGTAGGCTGCCGCCAGAGCTGCTGGTGCTGGTGGATCATCATCATCTACTACTGCTACTACTAAGAGGGGTCCTATTACTACTATTAGTGGGAGACCATCATTAAGGAATCAACAACAACAACAACTAACTGTTCCAACATCACCACTACCAGTGGAGTATCATCATTCAATGCTAAGGAGGGTGCCGAATTCCTACATAAGAGTGAGTAATACTATGACTTAGTACTAGTATTACTATTATTATGAGGATATGATGCCACTAATGAGAGATATATGGTAGTATCATCATCATCATGGACTTTCTTACCAGATAACAAGAAGAAGATAGGCGTAATATAGACATAATATGATATAATTATGATATTGTTATTATTATTATACAGAGAAGACTGTTCATAAATATGTAGCTGAGAGGTTGGGTTGGTCTACTAATAGAGGTGGTAGTAGTAGTATGTTCATGATGATGATGCCGGGTAAAGAGGATTTCGTACATCAAGTAAGGCAATATCGGTCGTAGTAGTACTAGTAGTAGGAGGCAACATTATTGTAGTTATATTCTTTAGTTAGAGCAAGCCATTCTCATGATGTCATCTAGTCATCTGGTAATACTAATCAAGTAGTAGTAGTTGGGTAATAATAAAGGCTACACTAGTAGGGATATTAACATTACTATCCTACTCACTGCTTCTGGATTCTACTATCATTATCATATAGTGAACAACAACAACAACAACATTCAACAAGAGTAATAGCAGTATATTCATTACCAATAATGATGATGATGCTTATTGTGTTATGTATAATAGTACTAATAATGTCACATAATGTCATTACGCATATCATGTCCATACCACAATCTGCCGACCCCCAACATATCTCTACCCCAACATCATCATCAAGGATGGCATCCATTATGCTTCTATATCTAGCTGGGAGAGATGCAGGATTGTAATGATATATTCAATCATAATACGATATAT